AAACAGCCCTCTCTCCCACAGGGTTACAAAATCTGGATTACAATTCAATGTCAGAAAGCCAATTCAGAAGCACTATTCTACAGCTACTGGTGGCTCTAGAAAAAAGAATTAAGGCCTCACGAGACTTCATGACTGCAGAATTTAGATCCAATCAGGCAGAAATTAAAAATCAATTGAATGAGATGCAATCCAAACTAGAAGTCCTAACGACGAGGGTTAACGAGGTGGAAGAACGAGTGAGTGACATAGAAGACAAGTTAATGGCAAAGAGGGAAACTGAGGAAAAAAGAGACAATCAATTAAGGGACCATGAAGACAGATTAAGGGAAATAAATGACAACCTAAGGAAGAAAAACCTACACTTAATTGGGGTTCCCGAGGGCGCCGAAAGGGACAGAGGGCCAGAATATGTATTTGAACAAATCCTAGCTGAAAACTTTCCCAATCTGGGAAGGGAAACAGGCATTCAGATCCAGGAAATAGAGAGATCCCCCCCCTAAAATCAATAAAAACCGTTCAACACCTCGACATTTAATAGTGAAGCTTGCAAATTCCAAAGATAAAGAGAAGATCCTTAAAGCAGCAAGAGACAAGAAGTCCCTGACTTTCATGGGGAGGAATATTAGGGTAACAGCAGACCTCTCCACAGAGACGTGGCAGGCCAGAAAGGGCTGGCAGGATATATTCAGGGTCCTAAATGAGAAGAACATGCAACCAAGAATACTTTATCCAGCAAGACTCTCATTCAAAATGGAAGGAGAGATAAAGAGCTTCCAAGACAGGCAGGAACTGAAAGAATATGTGACCTCCAAACCAGCTCTGCAAGAAATTTTAAGGGGGACTCTTAAAACTCCCCTTTAAGAAGAAGTTCAGTGGAACAATCCACAAAAACAAGGACTAAATAGATATCATGATGACACTAAACTCATATCTGTCAATAGTAACTCTGAACGTGAACGGGCTTAATGACCCCATCAAAAGGCGCAGGATTTCAGACTGGATAAAAAAGCAGGACCCATCTATTTGCTGTCTACAAGAGACTCATTTTAGACAGAAGGACACCTACAACCTGAAAATAAAAGGTTGGAGAACCATTTACCATTCAAATGGTTCTCAAAATATACCCTAAAAACTATAGAACACTTCTGAAAGAAATTGAGGAAGACACAAAGAGATGGAAAAATATTCCATGCTCATGGATTGGCAGAATTAATATTGTGAAAATGTCAATGTTACCCAGGGCAATTTACACGTTTAATGCAATCCCTATCAAAATACCGTGGACTTTCTTCAGAGACTTAGAACAAATTATTTTAAGATTTGTGTGGAATCAGAAAAGACCCCAAACAGCCAGGGGAATTTTAAAAAAGAAAACCATATCTGGGGGCATCACAATGCCAGATTTCAGGTTGGACTACAAAGCTGTGTTCATCAAGACAGTGTGGTACTGGCACAAAAACAGACATATAGATCAATGGAACAGAATAGAGAACCCAGAAGTGGACCCTGAACTTTATGGTCAACTAATATACGATAAAGGAGGAAAGACGATCCACTGGAAGAAAGACAGTCTCTTCAATAAATGGTGCTGGGAAAATTGGACATCCACATGCAGAAGAATGAAACTAGACCACTCTCTTGCACCATACACAAAGATAAACTCAAAATGGATGAAAGATTTAAATGTGAGACAAGATTCCATCAAAATCCCAGAGGAGAACTCAGGCAACACCCTTTTTGAACTTGGCCACAGTAACTTCTTGCAAGATACATCCACGAAAACAAAAGAAACAAAAGCAAAAATGAACTATTGGGACTTCATCAAGATAAGAAGCTTTTGCACAGCAAAGGATACAGTCAACAAAACTCAAAGACAACCTACAGAATGGGAGAAGATATTTGCAAATAACATATCAGATAAAGGGCTAGTTTCCAAAATCTATAAAGAACTTATTAAACTCAACACCAAAGAAACAAACAATCCAATCATGAAATGGGCAAAAGACATGAAGAGAAATCTCACAGAGGAAGACATAGACATGGCCAACATGCACATGAGAAAATGCTCTGCATCACTTGCCATCAGGGAAATACAAATCAAAACCACAATGAGATACCACCTCACACCAGTGAGAATGGGGAAAATTAATAAGGCAGGAAACAACAAATGTTGGAGAGGATGTGGAGAAAAGGGAACCCTCTTACACTGTTGGTGGGAATGTGAACTGGTGCAGCCACTCTGGAAAACTGTGTGGAGGTTCCTCAAAGAATTAAAAATAGACCTGCCCTACGACCCAGCAATTGCACTGTTAGGGATTTACCCCGAAGATTCAGATGCAATGAAACGCCGGGGCACCTGCACCCCGATGTTTCTAGCAGCCATGTCCACAATAGCCAAACTGTGGAAGGAGCCTCGGTGCCCATCGAAAGATGAATGGATAAAGAAGATGTGGTTTATGTATACAATGGAATATTACTCAGCCATTAGAAACGACAAATACCCACCATTTGCTTCAACGTGGATGGAACTGGAGGGTATTATGCTGAGTGAAGTAAGTCAATCGGAGAAGGACAAACAGTGTATGTTCTCACTCATTTGGGGAATATGAATAATAGTGAAGGGGAATATAAGGGAAGGGAGAAGAAATGTGTGGGAGATATCAGAAAGGGACACAGAACATAAAGACTTCTAACTCTGGGAAATGAACTAGGGGTGGTGGAAGGGGAGGAGGGCGGGGGGTGGGGGTGAATGGGTGATGGGCACGGAGGGGGACACTTGACGGGATGAGCACTGGGTGTTATTCTGTATGTTGGTAAATTGAACACCAATAAAAATTAATTTATAAAAAAAAATAAAAAAATAAAGAAAGTTTTAAAATACTCCTTCATTTTCTTTAGTTGGTATAGGCCTATTTAAATTTATTTTTTATGAGTTTAGTAGTTTGTGTCTTTCAAAAAATTTCTCCATTTTATCTAAGTTACTGAGCTACAGGTATTGCATTGTTTATAGTATCCTCTTATAATCCTTTTAGTGCCCATAAGATCAGTAGCAATAATGCCTCTCTTTCTTCTCATTTTTTAAAACTTATTTTTTTAGAGTAGTTTTAGGTTTACAATGAAGTTGAAAGGAAGGTAGAGGAGATTTTCCATATACTCTCAACACCTCTACATCCATAGCCTCCCCCATCATTAATGATCACTTACAGGAATGATATTTTTTTATATACAAGATGAATCTACATTGACACATCATAATCCCAAAGTCCATAATTTACCTTAGGGTTTCACTCTTGATTATTATATATTCTATGGGTTTTGACAAATGACTAATGACATATATCTATAATTATAATATTATATATCAAGTATAGTTGACCCTTGATACAACTCAGGTTTGTGGGTCTACTTATATGCAGAATTTATGGTACAATACTATAAATGTATTTTCTTTTTTTTTTTTTTTTAAAAGCTCCACATTTTATTACTGGCTGCTCCTTTAAATACATTTTGTGATAAACCTGACATTTATCTGATAAATCAAACAGAGGAAGATGAGCTGGTGAGATTAACCCTGAATCAGAAGTGATGAGTAAATCTCCATAGTAGATTTGGTTAGTTTAGAGTTTATATTTGATAGCAAAGTTGACTCTATATATTGGCAACCTAATAAAAACTGCTAAAACTGTCAGTGGAAAAATATGTTGGAAGTTGAGAAAATAATTTTGAGTTAATTCTTATCTTTTTTGTATTCCAATCAATGTTCATCATTTTTGTTTATTTTAATCCAGGACTTGTACAGAATCCCACCAAACTGAAAGGAGTGCCTTAATTTTCTGAGCCCTAGCCAAATCCAAATAGGGCTTTCATGAAATTGTCAAGCAAGCCAAGGCTTTGCCTCATATCTCTGTTACCCCATTAAAGAGAGAGAGAGAGAGAGAGAATCTGATCTCTCCAGTAACAAACTCTTCCATCCTCCACACTTTACTTCCCCCTAAACCACAAAATAAGAACATCAGATCCAATTTTTCATTTGGTTTAAAATCCTCTAAAATTTGGATTTTAATACTGATCTTCAGCATCAAAGACTTCCTGTTCTTGGCTAAACCGCTATGTAGTGTTTGTTGGTGGCTCTGTTTCCAGCTGTGATAGTAGGTGCTAGAAGTTGTTACATTTCAACTCTGGGCCAGGTGATTTTTATTTATTTCTTAACTGAACCTGATGCCAGGTATGAAACACTCAGCCTCATACAAAAGATGGAAGAGCAACTATTAATTCAATTATTAAAAAGTCTTGGGTAACAAAGGGCATTTTGTGTACTCTCTCTGTCAAACACTTTGCCCAAGGTCCTTAGAAGCCTCCTGATTCCTAACTCTGTCCTCTTGCTACTACTTTCATATTTCTTGAAAAAAAAAAAAAAAAAAAAACTTGCACAAATGGCATTTTTGATAGTGCACAGATTACCAAAGTATTTGAATAAAAAAGATGGCACATATGGCCTGAAGGTATGGCCCCATGATACCAAAGTCCTCTATGACAGAAAAAGGAACAAGGTAATTTCTCTGTGTTGTCCTCTGAGCTGTGGGAGAGCTGTCGGTCCATCATGAAGGATCCCATGGATGATGACCCACTGGCACCATCCACAATCTTAGTTCTCATTTCAGTCTCCCACAGTGTTGAAGGGAGAGGATCATTTTATTTTCATCATGGCATGATTCCATTCTAACTGTGGTCTTTGGCCCTAGTCCCCATCTGAGGCTACGAAGTATCTTTCCCCAACCAGATTCAAATATTAAATTAAAACAGATGTGCAAAACTACACAAACAAAAATCCGCCACCAAAACACAACCCTACCCCTCCAAAAACCACCAGCTTTGGGGAGAACCAATCAATGTCCATCATTCTCATGTCCTTATCCTAAACAATTACAAAAAGAACAGATCCACATTCCTCCTTAACCTGTGGTTGTTTCAAGGTCCAAAGAGGCCAAAGAAGCCAAGGTCTAGAAGTTCCTGGGGTGGTCTCCACGACCCCTCTTGGGCCACTCCTCATCCACCCACCTGTGCAGGACCTTCTCCACGTCGGCCCTGTGGTAGAGCCTGCAGAGCTCCATCAGCTGGCCCACTGGCCTCTGGCTGTTCCGGAGCAGGAACTCCAAGGTAGGGCTCTGAGGCCGCTGCTCCAGGAAACACAGTTCATCATAGGGCATGCCCCATTTACTTGCAAAATTCCTCCAGTTTTTTATTGTTGGGTGACATGGATCCAGCTTTATCCTGATGACATCAAGCAAGTCCTGATCATTGAGTAAGTCACTTATGGTCGGGGCCCGGAGCACACAGGAGGAACAAGTACAGTTCTCCTTGCAGGACTCATCTTTGCTTAGGTCTGAAAGGGGATCTCCAGTACTGTCTGGAAAGCCATTTTCTTCTCCCTGGTGATGCACCTCAGAATTTGTTGGGCAGTTCAAAGTAATTGGATCACAGTCCTCAGCTTTAGGGAGTCCCGTATCCTGAATGGGATATTTGTCTGGCATGTTAAAGGATAAAGTGCTGGGGTCTGTGTCTTCCACTGGCTCCTTTGCCATATGATCTGCGCGCACAGGGTGGTCCGGAGAAGCCATGGGGCAGGGAGGGACTGACCTGTATTTTCTTTTCATTATAATTTTCCTAGTATTTTCTTTTCTCTAGCTTAGTTTATTGAAAGAATATAGCATATAATACATATACACAATATGTGTTAATTAACTCTTTGTTTTCCTGAGATTTCTGGTCAACAGTGGGCTACTAATAGTTAAATTTTAAGGGAGTCAAAAGTTATTTGTGGATTTTCAACTGCATATAGTAGAGCCCCTAACCCCTGTGTCATACGAAGGTCAATTTTATTTTTACTGCCCAGAAAGTCCCATGTGCTCTGCCTATTTATCTCCCCTTCCCACCCTGGAAACCACTGATCTCTTTATGGTCTCTATGGTTTTGTCTTTTCTAGAATGTCATATGGTTGCAATCATACAGTACATAGCTTCTCAGTTTGGCTTTGTTCACTTAGTAATATTCATTCAAGTCTCCTTAATGTCTTTTCTTGACTTGATAGCTCATTTATTTGTAGCACCAATATTCCATTATCTAGATGCATCAAGTTTATCCATTCACCTAATGGAGGACATCTTTGTTACTGTCAGGTTTTAGCAATTATGAATGAAACTTTTATAAACATCCATGTGCAGGGATGGTTGGGTGGCTCAGAGGTTGAGCCTCTGCCTTTGGTTCAGGGAAATGATCCCAGGTGGGGGGATTGAGTCCTGCATTGAGTTCTGCAAGGAACCTGCTTCTCCCTCTGCCTATGTCTCTGCCTCTCTGTCCCTCTCATGAAAAAAGAAATACAATCTTAAAAAAAAAAAATCCATGTGCAGGTATTTGTGTAGACATACATTTTCAACTTGTCTGGGTAAATATTAGGGAGCACAATTAACTGGATCATATGTTAAGAGTATGTTTAGTTTTGTAAGAAACTGCAAAACTGTTTCCCATGGTTGCCTTACCATTTTGTATTCATACCAGTAGTGAATGAGAGTTCTTGTTGCTCCACATACGTGCCAACATTTGATATTATCAGTGTCCTAGATCTTTCTTTTCCGGTATTAGTAGTTGGTGTCTTCCCTCTTTTTACATGGTTAGCCTGGCTAGAGGTTCATCAGTTTTGTTCAGTTTTTCAGGGGTCCAGATGTTGATTTTATTGATTTTTATCTATTGTTTTCCTGTCTAAAATTGATTTTTCTTCTCTCTCTCTCTCTTTTATTATTCTGCTTGTTTTAAAGCTGAATTTGATCTTGTTTTTCTAGTTTTCTAAGGTAGAAGATTAGTTATATTGATTTTACCTTCATTATTTTCTAATATATGCATTCATGCTATACATTTCCCTCAAATGGTGCTTTTGCTGCACAAAATTTAAGTCTTGATAAATTGTATTTTTGTATTAATTTAGTTTAAGATTTTTAAAAAGAATTTATACTGAGATGTTAAAAAAGTCTGTGAGTTATTAGAAGGATAGTGTTTAATGTCCAAGATTTGGAATTTTTTAGTTATATTATTGCTATTGATTTCTATCTTAATTATGTTATGAGGACATATTTGTATAATTCTATTTTTTTTAATTTGCTATGTTTTACAGCCCAGAATACAGCCTATCTTGGTGAATATTTCATATAAGTTGGAAAATCACATTTATTTGCCTGTTGTTAAAGTTTTCTGTAAATGTCAATTAAATCAAGTTGATTTATTGTGCTGTTCAGGTCATCTATATTCTTACTGATTTTCTGCTTGCTTGATTAATGAATTATCAACAGAGAGTATTTCCAGTCACAACATTGATAATGGATTTGTCTATTTCTTTTTGCAGTTCTTACCTCATGTATTCTGATACATTTTAAGTATATACACATTTGAGATGGCCAATGTCTTGTTGGAGAATTGCCCCTATTATAATTTTGTAATGCCGACATTATTACTCATAAATTTCTTGTTCTGAAGTTTGCTTCACCTAAAACTAATATAGCTACTTCAACCTTCCTTTAATTAGTGTTTTCATGATACATCTTTCTCTAATTACATCACTTGCATCCTATCCTGGTCTTTATATTAAAAAATAATAATAATAACCCAATCTTACAATATCTTTTAATTTGTATATTTATCCATTCACATTTAAAGTGATTATTTATGTTTTTGTATTAATATCTACTATATTCCTGTCATCTATTCGTTATATTTGGTCTTTGTTTCACCCTCCCTTTTTCTGCCTTTTCCAATTTTATTTGAGCATTTATATGATTTCATTCTATCTTTTCTCTTAGCATAGAAATTATACTTTAAAAAAACTTTTAGTTATAAAGCATAGGGAAGATAGACAATGGTATTGTAATAGCTTTGAATGGTGATGGATTACAGCTACACTTGAAGTGAGGCTGGCATATCAAATACACTTGTTAAATCACTATATTGTACACCTGAAACTAATAACATTGTGTATTAACTATATTTTAATTTAAAAATACTAATTATTCAGAATTTACAATATGCATTTTTTCTTAGACTAAATCTACCATCATGTAGCACTCTACCACTTCATATGTAGTACTGGCACTTTATAACAGAGTGTCCCAGTTCTCTCTCCTGTTACTCGTGATATTGCTGTAAGTATTACACTTACCCATATGCTCTAATTAACCCATACATTTTTATTTTATTACTTTAAGCAAAGAGTTATATTTTAGATCAAGTAAGAATAAGAAATAAAAAAGAATATCTTCATTATTCCTATTCTGATCTTTTTTTTTTATGTAGATATCAATTCTGACCTAAATAAATTTCCTCTTACCTGAAGAATATTTTTATACTCTATTTCAGGAAAGGTCTGCTAATGATAAATTCCTTTGTGTTTGTTTGCCTAAGAATATCTTTTTTCTTTCCTGTACTATTGAAGGATAATTTCATTGGATATAGAAATCTAAGTTAGTAGTTTTGTTCTTTCAATACTTTGAATATTTCACTCCACTCTCTTCTAGCATGAATGGTTTTAGACATTAAATCTCCTGTAATTCTTAACTTGCTCTTCTATAAAGTGTTTTCTACCTCTCTAGATTGATTCTTTAAGATTTTCTCTGCAATTTGAATTTGATATGTCTAAGGGTTAGTATACTTATCTTTTCTTTTTCTTTTTCAATTAAAAAAAATCTATATTTATCTTGCTTGGTGCTCTGAACTTCTTGAATATGTAATGTGATGACTATGTATTCTGGAAATTTCTTGGTCATTGTTACTTCAAATATTTATTTTTCTCCATTTTTTTCTTCTCTGGTATTCTGATCTCACATATGTTATAGCTTCTGATATTGTCTAACATAATAGGATATTCAATTTTAGTTTTTCTTCATTCTTTTTTCTTTTGACTTTCAGTGTGGAAAATTTCCATTGACATATATTCAATTCACAATTTTTCCCCCGAGCTTTGTTGAGTACTGATGAGCCCTTTAAATGTATTCTTCAGGGATCCCTGGGTGGCGCAGTGGTTTGGCGCCTGCCTTTGGCCCAGGGCGTGATCCTGGAGACCCGGGATCGAATCCCACATCAGGCTCCCGGTGCATGGAGCCTGCTTCTCCCTCTGCCTATGTCTCTGCCTCTCTCTCTCTCTGTGTGACTATCATAAATAAATAAAATTTAAATAAATAAATAAATAAATGTATTCTTCATATATGTATATAATTTCCTTTTGATTATTTCTTAGAATTTCATTCTGTTTCCATTACCCATATATTTTTTGATGCTGTCTACTTTGCATATTCGGGCTCTTAAGTTGTGAATCATAGTTATTTTAAATACCCTAAACACCCTGTCAGATAATTATAACACTTGTGTCATATATGAATTTTATTATGATTGCTTTACCACTTCAGATCATGTAATTTTTTGCATTTTAATATACCTCACAATTTTTTTGTTGGATGTCGGACATTTCATAATGAATAACAGGAGATGAATTAAGTAGATCTTTATAGTACAGATCTTTGTTATTCTGGATAATAGTTGGGTTTATGTTTAATGTTTGTTTAGCTAGGTATCAGATGCTTCAAATTCCTTTTGTGTCTTTGCTTTTGTCTCCCCTCTTGTCTTTAAACTTCCCTGAAGACCCTTCCTCAGAGATAGTCTGTATCTTCAAGATCTTCCATTTGTAACCCACTGTTACTATATTGGAACTCTGTATGATGACAGGAAGTTGGGTAGAGGTGGTATTCTATAATCCTTTAACCAAATCTTAGTCTTTTCAAAGGCTTATATCTCAAGGCTGTGTACTTCATTAGTGTTTATTTCAGTGGTACAGCTTTTGGTCCTTTTTCTGGCTCTGGTGCTCCCAATCTGTTGTTTGTTTGTTTGATGGGTTTGTTGTTGTTTTTTGTTGTTGTTGTTGTTGTTGTTATTATTGTTTTAGGCTTTGGCCCCTATTGACCATGTTTTATTTAGCATAGCATTTTCCACCTAAGAGCTACAGACAGGCTGGAGGTTACTGGAGTATAAATGAATTCCTTTCTCTCACCTGGGGTAAAGTTTTAGAACTGTACTCTAGTACAGTTATTTTCCTTGAAGAGTAGGCCTTTATTACTGAGAAGGCTCTGGCAGTATGTTAGATTGGTTACTCCCAGAGCCAATTTTGTCGGGTCTTCACATGGAAATCAGAGACTTGAGGGTACAGAAAGTGATGGAAGATTCCTGCAGTGAAAGCCCATGAAGATATGGTAGCTTCCGGGAGCTTATCAATCTCATGCTACTCCACACTCAATCTCCCTAATTTATCAAAATAACCATTAAGTGTTCCTCCTAGTTTATTTCTACAACCACTTTTGTTCCAGGAAAGCAGATTTAAGTTTCTCTATTTCTCTGGCTGCACCTCTTTATTTCTAGATATTGGATCGGTAACTTGCCCTTTTTGGATCCAAGAAAAGTCACTGATTTCAGTTTGTCTATCTTTTTGTTGTACAAGGAGTGATAACTTTCCAGTTCTTTATATATTGGAGTTAAAATCTGAAGTCCTCCTCACTTTCCTTTAGAGATAAATTTACTATAATTTGCTTAATTACAAAATA